TTGAAATGCCAGCACTTAGCACCTGGCATGGCACAAAGTTGGACTGTGACACATGCAAGTTCGCTGAATTGGAGTTGAAAATAATCTGAACTCCCCCTTTGAAGACTGACAGTAGTAGAACATCCATTACTATACAGAAAAGGAAGTAGAAAAAGTTGACAGATTCCTAATCTGTAACAGTGGAGGAACTAATTCTAAACGAGAGATAAAAACAAAAATCAGTTATATGAAGCACTGGAATGCACTGAATAATTGCATTTGGGGGAACGGATTTATTTTTCAGTAAAGTAAGTACCTCATTAAAGTAAGACAGAGACAACTTAAGTTTCCAAAGGTCAATGGGAAAAAAGGGAGAATGAAGAGGGACAGAGAACAACATTCAAACGGAATACAACAGCCGCTCATTAATTCATTCCCGAATGTCAAGTCTCCCTCATTTCAAGAGCTCTTAGGGGCATCAGTGTAGACAGCATAATACAACAAGTTTTATTTACAACTCTGACTACATTCTTGGTAAGGTAAATTGTAGAATTTTATTTTAAAAGTCAGAAAAATAGATACTATCTTTTACAAGTAAAATCTTCACTTTTCCTTAGACTCCGTTGACAGAAGTTAAAGTGTCAGTCTTGTAGAAACCTAACCTATATAACTGATCTTGATTCTGGCCATGATGGAATAATTGGTATCCCAACACAAACAATCATAAACTAGGCAAGATACACAAATCCACTGTTTTCAGGCACTGGACAAAGACAGTGCATGGCTGTGGTCCTTGAGAGAAGGAGAATGAGCAGGGTCAGCTTCACATTCGCACCTACTTCCTGTCTTGGGGCCATTCCCAAACGCTGGCCATGGAAGGAGATCCCAGAGAGCAGTAGTCTTGCAGAGCAGGGAGAACAGAGATGAGATTTTCTCCGGTGTTTTCTTCTAGAATTTTTATAGTTTTAGGTTTTACCTTTTTTACTCTATTATATGTAGTAGAAGGAAAATCAGTACTTGCAAACAAATACTGAGCAATCACATGAAACAAGTTTAATATAGCACAGTGGTATTAAATCAATATCTGGATACAGACTAAAGTTCTCATTTCAGTTCCAACATTTGCTAGCTCTGCTGATCTTGGTCAAGACATTTAACTGCTCTGACCAAATTTTTTTCTCATCTATAAAATTATGTAAGAACAGTTCCCACTTCACAGGGTTGCTCTGAGGATAAAGTGAGACAACAGAAAGCACTGTAAAACACACATAGCTAATATTCAATAATATAATCATGTGAACTGGAGGAGGAGAGTGTCCACGGGCATAGAAAACACTTAAAATGGCTCCTGCATAGTTGAATGAACCAATTACACACTTGAAAGCATTTGCCCTGGAATGGGACAGGGGATAGATTAGGGAACAATGATGCAACAGGGCAAATATCCGAGCCCAGGGTGTGGTCTTCTGAACGAGTAGTAAAGGGGAAGCCATTTAAAGGAAGGGTGGTTAAAGTTCTAGCACAGAAATAGAAACAATGCTTTGGATCAGCTGAGAAAGAGTGGTAACAGAGGCTTAGAGTGTGTCCAGACAAAGATTACAATAGATGATTATTTATGACTAGTGCCTGAGTAAGATAAGATAATGGGGCAAATATGGTTGCAATTTTGCACAGTGCTGTGGAAAGACATCTCAGCCTAGCTTTAACTAGCTTTTCAATGCTTGTCAAATAAGATTGGCTACATAATCTCTGGGGCCCTCTGTGGATCTAGCTGCCTGTGAAATTTCCAATCTGTGCTAAGGGATTTGGTGTGGGAAGAGGGGAAGCTTGTGAACTCTAAAAATTTCTGGTGGTTGAAATAAAAAAGAAATATAGAATTGAAAGTTCTCTGAGTGTGACTGGTTCCTTATCCAGCCATGTGTGGCTACTGGAAGTAAAAGGGGTCAATGGAACACCGTCCAGGCTCTATGCTCTTAGTGCTTATCACATGAACTACTGACATTCAAAATGAAGATCCCCAAGGAATGGGAGGGAAAAAATACAGAAACAGTATGATGGACAGATCTGACTCTTTTGTAAACGTGGATAATTGAAAGTCCAGTATACATATTTCATTAATGCAGCCATTACTGCGATATTTGTTTTATTTTGGTTAAATTTTGGGACAAGTTATGGACATTTATTTTGCCAAGCACTGTACTAGGTGCTTTTATACATTTTCTTATCAAATCCTTCCAACAATTGTGTAGTTTTGGCAAAAGAAACTTAATTTAGAGACACTAAATCTCATCAAATTCTTACTGTCAGTAGGAGGTAGAGTTGTCTGGGAATCTGTGATCTAGTTGAGTAGACAGACACCGCCACTGAAATGGTTTAAGTGCCACTGGGGACAGCCATTAGGACAGCGTGGCTTCAAGAGGAAGCCCTGGGAAGGACTTGAAAGAATGAATATAACTTTGACAGGTAGATACTGGGCTGTGAGAAGGGGAGAAGTTGGAAGAGAAATTCAAAGTAGAGGAGAAACGTTTCAAAAGGCACAATGGCCAGAGGACACGTGGTGTGGTCATGGAACAGCAAGTTGCTGTAGGCATGGGAGGATAGGGTGCTGTATGTCAGCATGTGACGGGCTTGGAGGCCAGATGAGATATAACTAGCAGGCCATAAGGAAGCAGCAAAGGGTTCTGACCAGGAGAATGGCTGGATCAGGGCTAGGTTTTAAGAGATACTTTCAATAGTCTTCAACTAATATGTGGTAGTCTGGGTAGAAGGAGAGAGTGGAGGCAGGTGGCTGGTGGAGGCTGTCTTGGTCATTGGGCCAGGACCTGAAGAGAACCTGCCCTGGGGCCCTGCCCGAGGAGGGGGAGAATTTCACATGCACCTGAAATGTTCTCTCAGAAGCTCTCCTCTGTACTTATTCCTTGGAAAACAAGGTGGAATTCCCTAACTGTTCGATCGATCTGAGCAGGTTTTTTGTTTGTGCTTTGTTCTTTGCCTGGCAAATAAAAAGGAGCACTTCTTGTGCCCTTTGTATCCGAGTTCTGTACAGTAAGGAATGGGAGTGGCATTGCTACTGACCAGTAGGGGATCTTGAATGGGTGGAATCAATGGAATTTGATTGGATAGGGAAACTTGATGATTCCCAAATTTTAAACTTGAGTGATTAGGAAAATGGTGGTTTCTCTGTGGGAAATAAGACAATGATTTGGGAAAAAGGCAGTATGATGATTTAAAATTGGCTCAGTTGGAAGTTACAATAGGATTTTCATGCAGAAATATCCAGAAGGTGCTGAAAGGCCAGGACTGGTGTTAAAAAAAAACAGTAGAGGCTGGAAATAATATAGTTAGACATTTTTTCTGCAAGAAGATAAAGCCATGTTTGATGGATGTCCTCACCAAGGGATGACATAGTGGCAAATGGAAAAGATGGCCCAGGGCAGAACTTTGAAGAAATAGAGCAGGAGAAGGGGCCCCATCTAGGGAGGGGTCGGGTGGGGACAGGAGGAGAGAGAAGTTAGAATGTGCAGCTGGAGAGGTAAGGGAGGAGAGGAGTAGCGGTTAAACCAGGGGCCTGTAATGGTCAGGGATGAGGTGGCCTCCCTGGCTGTGTTCGGTGATAGAGTTTCTTCCTCTAGGCAGTGTTCCCGCCCTCTCCTTGCCCGGCTCCAGCCCATCCAGGACTTTCTCTCCTTGCTTGGTTTGGGCACAGATGACATTGATGACAGTTCAGCTGCAACTGTTTCCTTGTGTATCATTGTCCCCACCCCACGCCGTTTGAACAAATCTCCTAAATTGCATGGACTGTGTGGGGTCATCTACACAGTGAGTACAGGATGGGGCTCAGAGCAGAAATTAAGGGAGAGCAGTTTCAGGAGAGGGTTGGGAAGGAAAGCCGACTGCAAGGTGTTATGAAACAGGAAGATGGTAAGAAATGAAGGAATCATCTGACTATGAGAGTGGGTGGGCAGGGAGTTATGGGAAAAAGGAGACAAAAGCACACCAGCAGAGAAGCAGAATGTTTAATTTTAGGGTAAGAGCTTTGAATATGTTTGGGAACTGTGAAAGGAGAGAATGAAGATATAAGAGGTGGAGTGTAATAAGTGACGCAGTGACTGTGAGAAGGGGACTGGTGAATGCGGGGGTGGGGGTGGGCCTCTGAGGAGGGAAAGGGTGGGTGAAGGTGCAGAGAAATGCGGGGGTGAGAGGTGGGCTCTGAGCTGAGAGGTCAGAATGGACAATGAGGAAGCAACCTATGGCCTAATGCAGACCTTGAAGTTCTAGCTCTTTTATCAGTTGTGTCAACTGTGGCAAGTGACTCAAACATTTTTTCAAAGCTTCGACTTCCTTTTACGTAATTACCTTTAGGTAAAATCGGAGTACTATCTTCCAGCTCCAAAAATTGGGTGTTACTGTCCCACCTACTTGTAAATGTTTTCTTGGCTTTTTAGTTTATTTTGGGTTGTTCGCGGAGAAGTTTGAAGATGGTCTGGATCTTATGAGCAACGTAGGAGGTGGGTCATCAGAGAGCATGAGAGTGAGTGATCAGGTTTTCAGGGCATGGTAGAGAGAGATGAATGCAACGTGAATAAAAGGATTTGCAAGCATTAGAGGACCCAGTGGAGATTTAAAAAGGGCAAGAATGCAAATTCCTGGAAGAATCTGGCGCCTTCACTGAGGAGGTGTTAGGGCAGGTGTGTCCACAGCTTCCCCATTGAACTGCTCTCACTGGTGTGGGTATTGAGAGAGGCGCCCACCTGGCCGCCGCTTCCCGAGAGGCCTTGGGACGCGTGACCTCCGCTTTTGGAGGTCGGGGGGAGGGGTCATTGATTTCCCCGAGGCTGCCGCGTGGAAATCCCATCCCAAAGATTAGGAAGCCCTGCGAGGAGCTTCTCGAAGCCACGGGGAACGCAGGCGTGTGGGGGCGTCGCCAGGTGTGGCCAGACTTGCTTTCGTGCCGCGCGCTGTCGCCGCTGCACGGACCGGTTTTACTTGGTGCCCTTACACGGCCTTGGGCTTGCTTTTTTCTTTCTGTAAACTGCTGAGTATGGAGAGGCCCCGCCCTTCCGCACCAGGCTGAGGCCGGGCCGGTCCCGCCCCGCTCCCCCCGGCGGGTGTTCTTCCCCGGACGGAGCTGGAGGGCCTGGCGGCGGCGGCGCATGAAGCCCCGGGCGGTGCCCTCCTGGCTGCAGCCCAGGTAGGGCGCTCGGCGGGGCCCGGACGGAGGGACTGGAGGGGAGGGGAGGGGGTAGGAGCTGCCGGGGCGGGGGGCGGGGTTCCCCCAGTCCCCGTAGGCAGCTGGGCGGGCATGGCTAGCGAGGCGCGGCGTAGCCGTGCGCCCTGTGCTTCCATGAGCTCTTGACAGGTAGGTATTAGCTAATTCAATTCTCTCGGCAACCCTAGAAAGAACATTTATTTTCCTCATTTTACAGATGAGGAAATGGGAAGGAGGCCGCATGGCCATCTCTTCCTTTTGGGCGCCCTGGACCAGTCCTTCCCTCCCACCAGGAGCCCTCTTTGGTGTTGAAGGGTGATTTTTAGCTCTGCTGCAGAAACACTTATTATTACAGGTGTAGATAATAGGGCCCCGCTCCAGAGAAACTGATGCAGTGGCATAGAGGGTAGGGCCTGGAGACGAGTAAGTTTAACCAACACACCAAGTGACTCCGACGAAGGTTTAAGGGAGGAATTCCTCTTCCTCATCCCCCTTTAAGTAGGTTCGTGTCATCTGTAGGGTGGCCCATCATCAAGCTACACTGTATGAGCTTCCCAGCTTATTTGCCTCATTTCTCAGAGGTTTCACAGCTTCAACCAGTAGAAAACCTCCTCTATACTGGCAGGCCACCCCACCACTCAGGGAGCACTTCAAACAGTGCTTTTCCTAACTACCTCAAACGGTGATATCTGTCAATCATGTCTTAGTCATAGTCCTAGCAATCCAGTTGTAAACTCAGCTTGACTTCCCTTTTCTGGCCTGAACCACTGAACTGCTTTCTATGTGTGTCTGATGAAGGAAACTGTGCCCTTACATAAGCAGGCAGTGGCACGATGCCCCAGTCACCTACTGCATCCAAAAAGTCAGGCATATCCAATTACTGAGTTATCCACCATTTGGGAATGTCTCTAGTAGTCGTAAATCGGTTCTCTCGAGTTCTGCACTTACTAGGCTGAGCTTCTGGAGCACATATTGACCACATCAGTCTCTCATCCATATTTATTTTTTCAAAAATACTCAAAGCTGTCTTTGCAATGCTTACTTGTTTTTCTTGATGAACAGCAAGGTTAGAACCTTATCAGGGTGAAAGTGGATTTTGAAACAGAACTGTATTTAGCTTTAGGCAAACTCAGGATACTCACCTGAGCCAGTATGTGCTAGGGGGCCTTTCAAAATCTGATGTGCATTGGAGGGGTAACCACATAAAAGTCTCTGATACAGAATAGTTTTCTCTTGCTTGTTCAGGTTGGCAAGTAGGTTGGTTAATAGTGTATAATGCTGAAAGGATAATTAATTATAAAGGAAGTGTTTAATTGTATTTTCCTGTATTTATAGGTATAGGAAGAATGTCTACCTTTTCATCTACTACTTAATCCAATTCTGTGGCCACTCATGGATATTTACAAATATGACAGTCAGATTCCTCTCATTTGGAAAAGGTAAAACTCCAAGACAGTTTTGGATTTTTAACTTTCAGTTCTTGTTTTCACCTAGTCCTGCTTATATTAATTTTTTTAACTCCTCTGAACTTCACCTAATATCCTTCACTCTTCTAAAATGTAGTGACCATGTTTTTTCAGTAACATGATGTTTTGCTTTGCAAAAACCAAAACCTTTTTGGAGAAGTGGGGAGGTGAGTTGAGGGAGAGAAATTTGGCTTCTCCTTGAGGAGCAACTTGCCCTGAGAACAGAGACATGGCATTGGGGTGACACTTGACTCTTCCTTTTGGTTCTGCACCTAGCAAATCTGGTACATTTTGATGAAATCTGCAAATTCCACTATAACATTTTTTTGCAGAGAAATTAGGAATTAACCAAATTCTTCCCTTGTTTTTTATTTCCCAGGTTTAAGGCAACCAGAGACTAATAAATGAAAGAAAAACTTTGTATTCTTCAGGCTTCTAGTTGGTGCTCCTAGGGAATAATGTGTCCCTAAGAAAATTACATACTTTGTAGGTGACTCATCACCTATATGGGAGTCAGTGTTAATGGTTTAAGTCATAAGCTTCCTCCAGTTTCCAAAAAAGTAAAGATTTTAAATAACATCTCAATTTTCAAAAACCTAATCACTAAATAACTGTCAAAATAACATTCTTTTCATATTCAATCCCTATATTGTAAGTGTCATCACAGTTTACAACTGTTGGGTGACTTGACAGTTTGAGCAACTGCTGGTTTCAGCTAAAAACAAACATGTAGAATGTATTGGGAAAACTCAGGCTGTGCTCATCAATTCAGACTTCAGCATCATAAGAAAATTAATCTACTTAATTATGAGGTACCATAAGCTGTTTTGTATTGCCTTTTTTAAATGTAAATCTACAGTTAATTCTTGCTTTACTAAGAACCTCCAAAGATATAAACTGAGGCTTGAATTTCAGGTCTGAATGTTGGGAGTCTTCAAGCAGAAGGAAAACACAGGGAATGGAAAAACTTCCTTTATATTTTTAGGAAAAAAATCATCACTTCTAAGCTGTGGCTTTGTGAACATATTACAGGTCATTTACAACACAAGTCACAAGCAAGGAGCTCTTTCTGCCTGGCTTGTCCAGTGGGAAAAATTGCCTTAATCAGCAGTGTATTTATGTCTTAATTATTATCCTGCTGTTATAATTATAGAAGCTACATATTTTTAAAGAAACACAGCCTGTTCATATAGAAGGCAGACTGAAAAAAGTAAGTGGGGATTCAGTACAATTCCTGAGTAAATGTATCAAGTAAATAGCTTATCAGCAGTCTAATCCAGGAACCTGCTGCCTTCCTCCTTCACAGAGCTTTGTAGTGATCATGCTCTGTTACAGCAAGTGCAGGGCAGTGAGTGAGCGCACCAGAGAAATGAGGATGCTGAGCATCGTGGCCACCTCACAGAGCCACTCAGAAGAGAAACCTGGAGTGCCCAGTAACGTATGTCAGGGAAATGATCACTAGGCAGCAAAGACAGTAAAATCTTCCCCAGAAGTTTCTTTACATGGCAGGATTTAATTTTAAAATTTAAATTTATCCTAGTTAGAGAAACATTCGTTTCCCTCCCGGTTCAGCTCACTCTGTTTGTAGGATGAGCTCTCTGCAATGGAAACTCCGAAGTCCCCATCTGCGGCCCAAGTTCTAGTGTTTAACAAAAATCCAGAAGGTACCACCCAAGTATGTAGATGACACAAATGCTAAGTAGTTAGTTGAAATCACGTCTTTATGAATGCTATTTCCATAAAGCATCTCTGAAATCTTATTTTTCTCATCTTTGTCATTTCCTTGGCAGTGGAAAAGCTTTTCCATTGAGCACGGTGAGCAGAGCAGCTTCTTTAATAAGTTCACCTCCAGTTTGTTCACGTTTGATGTAGCCTACATTCTTGCTGATCACCTTTATTTGAGAATAGGTTTTTATAATCTCATGGGGAATGAATACAATAGTTTAGGCCACGGGGTCTTCTTGAATTTCAAATTTTTATTTTTTGGAAGAGGAGCAATTAAAATGTACTTTTATATGATGTGTTTCTTTAATTGCATGGTACAGCTGGTCATTGAAGAACATGGAGGTTAGGGGTGCTGACTCCCCTATAGTTGAAAAAACTTTTGATTCCTCTAAAACATAACTACTAATAGTATACTGTTGACTGGAAGCCTTACCGATTAAACAGTCGATTAACACATTTTGTATGTTGTAATGAGTATTATATATTATATCCTTACAATAAAGTATGCTAGAGAAAATGTTTTTTTCACATTGTTGCCCATCTCTAAAAAACTTTCCAATACTTTATTGAAAAAAAATCTGTAAGTGGACCTGTGCAGTCCAACCCTGTGTTGTTCAAGGGTCAACTGTATTCTTAATAATTTAGTAGTTATTTAGGAAATTTCTCAGGTATATAGTGGAGAAGTAAATAATCCTAATTTTATTTAAAAGTGCTGCATAGATTTAAGTTGTGATATGGTTTTTCCTTACTATGTCTAAATTTTAAATTCACCGGGCAGATTCCATGGTTGACACTTTCTATGCGATTGGCCTTGTGATGCGCCTTTGCCAGTCTATTTCACTCTTGGAGTTGCTGCACATATATGTTGGCATTGAATCAGATCATCTTTTTCCTAGGTTTCTGCAGGTAGGTTTCAATCACATTATTATTACAGAATTTGTTTCAAACTTAAATTTGTTCTATTTAGAGTCTCTCTTGACTTCCTGGCCTGGATTCAAACCTGAGTTCTACCTCTGACTAGTTGTATGAATTTAAACAAGGGTCATAGTTGTTTTGAATCTCATTTTCTCATGTGATGTGACAATAACATGTGTCTCAGGAAGTAATTGAGAAAATGGGTGGGATAAGTTCCTGTCACTTAGTTAGAATACAATACCTGGTAGCTTACTGCCATTGTTTTAGCTATTATTTGTTCCCTCTACCATGTCTCTAGCCCTCCATGTCCATTTTCCTTTTCAAGGCAGGTTGAAGGAAGATGGGAAATTCACTGGGAGAGAGATTCAATATAGGAAATCATTGATGGATTAAGGTGAGAAAAATAAAAAGTAGTATATTCCATAAAACAGAGGTAGAGGTTAGGTGACTATGTGAAATGTGTTTAAAATCTACAGAAAGAAGTATTTCCATGAGTAAAGTTTTAACTATTCACAAAATAAATTAGAAAAATGGATAACTAAATTTGGCAAATCTGCAATGTAAAAATAATTGAAATGTCAGAATCTGTATTGCCAATACCTAGCAAAGGGCTTAGAACATAAACATATACTTAAATTTTTGCTGAATGGGGTGGCATAGATCCTTGTATTAAAATTTGCTTAAAATACCATGAGTTTAAAAAAATCATATAATCCAAAGGAGCCTATTAAGAACTCAGCATTACAAGTTTATGGGAGATTTAAAATTTTACTTACTAAATAAAAGAAAAATAGTATTCATTAGGATGAAGACATTTAAAGTGTTGTAGTATCAAATGTGAAATAAAAATCAGGGCAGTATTTAGAGTGCGCGCTACTAATAATAATCAGCTAGCCAAGACTTAGATGGAATTCCCTTAAACATTTCCTTACAAAATAAATAGGGGTACATATCTGTCCCAGAAGAAGCACTTTATTTGGGAACAAGACTTATTAGTGTTTATTACTTGTTAACAGCCAAAGTGCATATTTTGGTACCAGCATCCCATAATGCTAATTTTAGGGAACAGAATTAACAACCCAGGTTAAATGAAAGTTGTATTTATAATATTTTTCTTGGGGTATGATAAAATTCATCTAAAATTGAAGCCATGTTTTCTTTTGACATACTTTCTTGGACTTTTTATGTTTGCAGGCTAAATTGGCCAATATTAATTTCATGGTAAAAGAACATTTTCAAAACTAATAGTATTATTTTAGTTATTGCCAATATAGGGTAATGCAAGTGAGAAATTGGAGAGGTAAATTTGTAAGAAAGGATATAGAGCACATTGAATATGAATAGAAATATGTGCGTTTTTTATGCTTTCCAAAATTATGTAGGCTTGCCTCATAATAGAAATTATTATACAGTTTAGAAACCCAATTTCTTGGAGTTCCACAAATTCCAGAATATTTGTGATTTTAACCACTATTAATTGAACCTCTAATAACTGATAGAAATATGATCACTGTAATCAAACTGTATCCTGCTTTGGTAATTAAAAAATAATGGCAAATATACATTGAAACTTTTCATTCAAAGGTGCAGTTGCAAAGTCTCCCATTAATGGGGCTTGAATGATTTTTAAGTCTTTGTTTTTGAGCAGGATAGCAAGTCAGGGAGCACCATATTAAGGGAAGATAATTACCATTCTCATCCTGGGCTAATTATTTATTTTTGTGATTGTTTGGCTTTCTTTTTTTGTATCTGTGAGATTTTATCCTCTCTTCTCTTCCATCTTCTCTACTGTTTTCAGAATGGACATGGTGTTGGAGAAAGCTTCAGATATGTTATCATGTCCAAAGTTTGATTTTTCTCCCCCTTCCTTCAGTGAAGTTCTATAGACAATTAGAATTCCTTCATTATGAAATGCCTCTGAGGCCACTGCTCTAAAAAAACTGAACAAGACTCTAAGGTTGTGTAATCATTCTTGGTTTTCCTGTTTCCCCATTTTTAAGAGAAGAAAATGTAGTTAAGAATGTGGCTAAGCTACTAGCATGGTAATCATCGCTGACTGCATATGGTCTCTTGAAAAAAGTCCAGCTGCTTTCAAGTGGGCTGAACAACATGTCTGCACATCTATGATGTTATTTTGCTGTTAGCTATGTGAGATTGCTAAGTCACAACTGAATTTTCTTTTTGGGACCTAGAGTTCCCAAACAGCAAGATAAGTAATTCAAAGAGTGGTGGGCACGAATAACTAGCTGAGCAGTTAGAATCACTTGTGTCAGATGGTGGTGGTGTGTGTATAGAGGGGCTATATTTGTTTTCTGTGTTTTTGTGTTTTGTTCTATGCATTTTTAAATGTTCAGCACACACATTTTTATTTTTACAGTCAGGGAAAACCATTATGAATTTCTAAGATTACAATTACTAAAGGAAAAGGGGAAAATCTATTGACTTTAGTAATTTGGAAATGTATAGTTTATGTGTTTTAAAAATACACATTGGGGAAAAGGGCAAAACTATAGCACAAATAGTTGTTTATAGATACTTTTAGAAATATAAGATATTTTTAGAAATAAATAAGCTATTTAAAATTATGTAAAGAAATAGAGTAAACTACTGATCATTGAATAACTGAATTAAAGTGGCTGAAATCTGAATCCTTCCTTTGCATCACAATAAAAACTGCTGCACATGTATGCTACACAACTTTTAACATCTGTGAGTCAAAATACTAGGAATTATTACCCCAAAATTATTGTGCCTGCAGAAATTCCGTTTGTGAGCACTATTGCAAGAATTGAAATTTTTTATTGAAATATAGTTCCTGTATTGCTTTCACATGCACAATATAGTGATTCGGCAATTACATGCATTACTTAGTGCTCACCAGGATAAGTGTAGTTACCATTTGATACAAAGAAATTACAGTATCACTGACTGTATTCCCTATGCTGTTACTTCCATCCGCATGACTAATTTATTTTATAATTTGAGGTTTGCACTTTATCTCCTTCACCACTTCCCCCATCTTTCCAGCCCGTGCCCCTACAATAACCAGTCTATTCTCTGTGTTTAAATCTATTTTTGTTTCATTTTTTTGTTTGTTTTGTTTTTTAGATTCCACATATGGTATTTGTCTTTCTCTGTCTGACTTACTTCACCCAACATAAGGGTCCATCCATATTGTCACAAATGGCAAGATTTTATTTTTGTGGTTGAATATATTCCATTATATATATTTATCACATTTTTGTCCATTCATCTATTAATAAACATTTAGGTCGCTCCCATATCTTGGCTATTTTAAATAATGCTGCAGTAAACATAGGGGTGCATATATCTTTTTGAATTAGTGATTTTGTTTTCTTTGGGTAAGTTCCTAGAAGTGGAATTGCTGGGCCAAATGGTATTTCTATTTTTAGTTTTTTGAGAAACTTCCATACTGCTTTCCATAGTGGCTGCACCAGTTTACATTCCCACCAGCAGTGTACTAGGGTTCCCTTTTTGCCACACACTTTCCAACACTTGTTTTGTTTTTGATATTAGTCACTGTGGCTGGTGTGCGGTGACATCTCATTGTGGTTTTGGTCTGCATTTCCCTGAGGATTAGTGAGGTGGAGCATCTGTTCATGTGCTTTGGCCATCTGTATGTTTTCTTAGGAAAAATGTTGATTCATGTCCTCTGCCCATTTTTCAATCATATTTTTTTGGTGTTGAGTTGTATGAGTTCTTGATACTTTTTGACATTAGTGCTGTATTGGATATATCTGCAACCATAACATAGGGAGCCTTTTCATTTTGTTGATGGTTTCCTTTGCTGTGCAGAAGCTTTTTATTTTGATATACTCCATTCGTTTATTTTTGCTTTTGCTTCCTTCCCTGGGGAGACATATACAGAAAAAAATTGCTAAGGCCAATGTGCAAGAGTTTACTGCCTGTGTTTTCTTCTAGGTTTATGGTTTCATGTTTTACAGTTAGGTAATTAATCCATTTCAGATTTAATTTTGTGTTTTATGTAAGACTGTGATTAAGTTCCATTTTTTAGCACATAGCTGTCCAGTGTTCCCAATACCATTTATTGAAGAGACTGTCTTTTCGCCATTGTATATTCTTGCCTCCTTTGTCATATATTAATTGACCATACAGACGTGGGTTTATTTTTGGGCTCTCTGGTCTGTTGAGCTCTGTGTCTGTTTCTGTGCCAGGACCATACTGTTTTGATTACTACAGACTTTTAGTATAGTTTGAAATCAGGTAGTGTGATTTCCCCAGTTTCGTTCTTTCTTAAGATTGCTTTGGCTAATTGGGTCTTCTGTGGTGCCATACAAATTTCAGCATTATTTGCTCTAGCTGAGCAAATTGTAGTTGGTATCAAGGACAAAATGTCCTTGATATTTTGATAGGGATTGCATTGAATCTATAGATTGCTTTGGGTAGTATGACTTTTTTAACAATATTAATCCTTCTACCCATGAGCATTGAGTAACTTTGCATTTATTTGTATCATCTTCAACTTGTTTCATCAATGTTTTATAGTTTTCATAGTACAGGTCTTTTATTTTTTTGGTTAGATTTATTCCAAGTTATTCTTTTTGGTGCTATTGTAAATGATTATGTTTTTATTATTTTTAAGGCAATTGTAAATGAGATTGTAAATGTCATCTGCAAATAGTGACTGTTTTACTTCTTCCTTACCAATTAAAATGCTTTTACCTTTTTCTTGTCTGATTTTTATGGCTACGACTTCCAGTATTATGTTGAATAAAAGTGGTGGGAGTGGGCATCTTTATCTGGTTCCTATTGTTAGAGGAGAAGCTTTCAGCTTTTTGCCATTGAGTTAGCTGTGGCCTTTATTATGTTGAGGTATGTTCCCTCTATACATACTTTGTTGAAAGTTTTTATCAAGAATGGTTGCTTGATTTTGTCAAATGCTTTTACAGCATCTGTTGAGATGAACATACTGTTTTTATCCTTTTTGTTAATGTAATGTATCACATTGA